GCTCGCTGGGATCCATGAAAGGGTCCGGCTGCTCGTAGTCCGAGTGGACAATGTGAGATGACCCTTCCTCTGCTCGTCCATGGATTCTTTCGCTGGAGATCGTCCTGGGAAGTGAAGCTAGCAGCAGCAGCACCACCACCATCGCCATCTTTGCTACGTTGTCATGGAGCCTGTGGCGCTTTGGATTCTCTCTGCTGGCCATTATCATCCTTGTCCTGGAGGGTGGTCCTCTCGATCTAGCTCCATCTCTGCTGCTGCTCGTCATCACTGCTCTTCCCGATCTAGCTCCAACTCTGCTGCTGCCCGTCATCACTGCTCTTCTCGATCATCAAACGGAGTAGCTTCCCCCTCCCTCGTCTTTGTGTCTCCGTCGACGATGCACAGTGGCGGTGGTGGCGATGGAGATCCTGGAAGAAGGAAAACAAAACTAATGCGCTGCAAGTATTGAGATTTCAAACCTGTGCATGAGTTATTTATTCCTGTCCCTTCGCTGCTTTCTCGTCTTTCTCCTGTTACCAATCCACTCCACGGCTCCTCGAGGCATATTTTATCGATCGGGTAAATGCGATAGATCTCATGTAAAGCAACGTCCTGGAACAATGTGTAATCCCGGATCCCCGAGCGTAAGTGACTTGCTATGATTTCTGGCAGAGTAAACAATAACCTTGTTCTGTGCATTGTCTCCCTTTGACAACAGGGTTGAACGCAAACATTTCATGTCACCGCGGCCCTTCTTTTCGCGGACATAAAAGGACCAACTTGCAAGGAACTTCCATTCTTCCTCTCTTTCTCTCTCTCTCTCCTGTGATGCTGTAGACTATTAGAACAAAGCCAGGTTTAAAGCCGGGAGCTAAGTACCTCGCGCCTTGGATCTATCTCCGCTATAAAACTCCCTGATCAAGGCACAGTTCTTAGGAAGAATAGATTTCCAATTTCACCAGGTACCTTGCATGCCCGCTCGAAAGTTGGATGTTAAACAATCCCCCCCAGGGCGCATTCTTTAGCTCTCTTCCTTTTCTTTGTGTTTGCTTTTCCCTCTCCATGCTGGGTCCATGAGTTACGTGCATCGTACTACGTACAGTGCGATTTCCTCCACGCATTAGCTGTGACGTAGCAACAGGAGCAGAGTCAAGGATAACACTCAAATGAACTCATTCAAGAACTTATCGACTTACCACCCGCAGCAGAGGGTGCCTTTAAATTCTTAAAAGCTCCAGTTGGTGGTGAAGAATTGAGGAAGAAACGTCGTACTTCCTTTGTCTCACTCAGCATGTAGCGATCAAATCAGGCACACACGCATGCGGCAGCACAGCACACATGCACACAATGGCTGTTCCTGCCCTCTGCTGGTACAAGTCTTTCCTGCGTATGCCATGCCTGGGCAATTGCTTCTGCCCCCACCATTTATCGCAACATGCCAGCCAGCCGTTCGTTGCTGCTGCTGCTGCTGCTGCTGCTGCAAGATCCAAACAAAACTTAGGAAGGCCGAATATTTCGTGCTTACCTCATAAGCGTGGACGAAGCTCCCGCTGGACCACGAGGAATTAGTCGATAGCAAAGATCTCCAGCTGAAATCCTGAAAAGCGGACACACAATCCGGCAGCAGCAGCGACGTCTTTCCAAGACCAAAGCTTTTGATTGTAGTACCTGTGCCTGGCGCGGGTGGTCAAGAACTACACTTAAACCAGTCCGAGCGTTGCAAATCCAAAGCGAGCAAGGCGTTCAAAGTCAAGAACCCGAAAGGCAGTGACAACAATGACGCTCCAACAACAGCAAACAAGAACATCAGTGCAAGTTGCAAAGTAATATCTGGATGCATACCACCAGCCGGTGGCACCAGTCGGAAGAAACCGATCCGCAGAAGCACATGAGCGTTGTCATAAGTTGGGTGATGCGTTGGTGACGACCCAAAGAGGTGCGCTTTAAATAAAAATCCCAGCTTTTTCCATCCTTTTACTTGGAGTAGAATAAGCCCAAGGCTGTCCTCCTCCTCCTCAGCTCTGCCAAGAAACTTAAGTAGTACCCCCGCAGGATTTCAGAGGATAAAAATACAAAAGAGAGAGAGGGAAAGAGCACTCACCACCACATACTTGCATTTTTCTTCTTCCTCCGAGCAGCAGAGCTGCCTAGAATTGTTGGAGATCCTGTGCACCCACGTGCCAATCTTTCTCGGATTTCATACTTAAAATATACGCCCAGTGCCGCCCTCGATGTCATGGTTACAAACATCGCCGTTCTGTTCTGTCCACTTGTTTATGTATTCGGGGAAAAAACTAAGGTTGTGTGCCAGGACCATAGCCATTTTTTATCCAAATGCACCGATGTTACTTTAGGAATTTCTCTGCTTCGAACGTAGCGAACATCCAAGGATCAAGAACTCCCTGAAAGAGAAGAGAAAATAGAATGGTGTCGAATCGAACAAACAGGATCACAAGGAATGCAAAGACATACCCAGAGTGTATAGACTATGCGTGATCTGCGGCTGGCTATTCTTCTCCTTATATTGCTGCCATGCAATCTTCAAAGGGATTGGGCTTGTCATTTGGCCAAGTACCTCTCCGCAAAAGCCTGTCTTTTGATGACAAAGTGACTCGGAAAGGACTGCGAACGCGAAGCATGTCTTCTGCTTTTCCATCTGACGTGCCACACCCTGCCTTAAATCATCTCTTCAAATATATTTGAGACCTGAACACAAGAACAGAACCATCAGTACGATGGATGCTTGAAAATCATATCAGACCTCGTCGAGCTTCTCGGGCCTAATCAATGCTTTCATGAGCGTTGTATAAGTTATCTTGTCAGCTGTCAATCCCTGAAACCGAAAACATCAAAAGGTCGCAGCGAACAAAACGTACAGCTTCGTTTGATGTATTCAAACACCGGGAACACCACCTGACCAGACTAAACGCGTTGATCACCAGGTGTATCTCAATATTTTTCATGCTCGCACATTCCCTGCAAGGGCATCACCTCGTTCAAGAACACCGGAATGAAAGAATCGAAAAGCATAAACACGGTACCAGTTGAGCTGAGTAAGCCGCTAGCGACGGTCCCATTCCATCGCCTGGACTGGAACAAGCGTGCTTGAATGTATATATCCACAGAGGTTGTGTTTGGAAACAGTCACTCGGAACGCATCTCCTCGACAATCGCGTTCATGGTTCTGCTCTCACCGTTAATTATAATGTTGAAAGTTCGAGCCGTCGTTCACCATCACTGGCCGCCCGGCCTTCATCGACGAAGAGTTCCAAGACACCATTCGAAACATCTCTCGCAAGAGCTGCAGCCTTTGTGCCACTGAGCTGTGTATCGTTGTCATCTAGGAGTTTGGCCAGATATGACAGTCTCGCATCTCCTCCCGGGCGAGCATAAGCACCGACGAGCAGGCAGTAAGTTATCGTCGTCCCTGACACTGTCTATTAGCCTTTCCTCAAGGATATACAGTTATCCCGGAAGCTTGCAACTTCTCCACGGAATTTGTGAACTTGCAAAGATGAGACGACTCCTTCGGCTTGTATATCCACAACACCATGGTCTAAATTTTTCCATAGTCCTTGTTCTCTACGTTGAATCCACGAGCTTTAGTTTCTTCTCTCTTCCATTCTTTCTAAGAGCGAAGCTCTAAACGGTTCTATCAACAAAAAATTCCCTCTTTTTCCAATCTCTCGAGCAATGCCGCATCAATTTCATATAGGGAAGCGTACCTCCCACCACGCCGCCCTCCTCCAAAACCCTACGTTCGTCATTCTTGGATCCATCGCCGTGGCGACATGAATGCACAGCTCAAGAACCCTAAAAGAACTTACAAATGATAGCTTAAATACATTCATGTTTGAGGAACCCTAGAAGCAGTGGGGCGATGGCGCTTTGTTTCTGACCGATTGTGAGGTGAGCTTTGGTGATTGTCTGATGCGCTGCGTGAATGGTTCTTGATTCTCCTGGATTTCTAGCTGGATTCGTCCATGGGATGCGCCAGTAGAGCCTCAAAATCAGGGTGTGGATTCTTTGCATTCTTGCCCGCTTTCTTCAATCCTTTGTCGCGATTTTCTTACCATGGAGTCTCTCTTCCAGGCACTGTAAGCCTCCATTCCCACGATTGTTTGGTGGAAAGATCCATAGTGCTAGCGTGATTCCAAGGCATTCATCGGTATCAGCGGCTCGCGCGAGGAGCTTGAGGAATTCGATGGTGTCTGAGGTAGCTGTGGTGAAATCTCCTTCCGACAAGCGAGACTACGAGATCGTTCACTTGAGGAATGGCCTGTCGGCGCTCCTCATTCACGACTCGGAGATCAAACACTCGGTGACGAACGTCGAGAAAGCTCCTTTAGCGGCTTCCAGCGAAGAATCGGACTATGACGACGACGAAGACGACGAAGAAGATGACGAAGAAGAGGAGGAGGAGGAGGATATGGCTCGAGACGAGGTTCCAGAAGATGGAAAGAAGCGGGGTGGCATGGCTCAAGCGAAGAAGGTAAGTTGCTCGTTTGTTTCCATTCTTTGAAATAACCTTTGTGGTTTTCGAGTGTAGGCAGCTGCTGCTATGTGCGTGAGTGTGGGAAGTTTTTCCGATCCCAAAGATGCTGAAGGACTGGCGCACTTTCTCGGTGAATTTCTCTTCTCTTCTTCTTTTTGGTTTGTAATGACACAATGTGTTTTGGACAGAACACATGCTTTTTATGGGGAGCTCAAAGTTTCCAGACGAGAACGAGGTATTGTCTTTGTCTTCTGCTTCCTATTTGCCATGTAAAACTATATGGGTTCATTCAGTACGCTGGATTTTTGGCCGAACACGGTGGGTCTTCGAACGCGTTTACGGAGATGGAGTATACGTGTTACCATTTTGACGTGAATCACATGTATCTAAAGCCCGCTTTAGAGAGGTCGGAGCTACTTTTGATTTTATACCATCTTACGTTTTTTCCTTTGCAGATTCTCGCAATTCTTTATTTCTCCTCTGATAAAAGGGGACTCGGTTGAACGCGAAGTTCAAGCAGTCGACTCAGGTATGCGATTACTACAGGATTCTTTAGGATGCATTCGTTGACTTGGTTGTCTTTGCCAGAGTTTGTGCAGGCTTTGCAAAATGATGGCTGCCGGTTGAATCAGCTGAAATGCCACACAGCTGATCTTCTACATCCCTATAACCGCTTTTCTTGGGGTATTCAATACATTTTAAAAGTCATAACGTGTATCGGTGGGATCTGCTTCAGGAAATGCCAAAAGCTTGGGCGAAGCTATAACAAAGTGTACTGACATTCGTCAAAAGCTCATCGAATTTTACAAGCAACATTATCTGGCAAATCGTATGAAGCTTGTTGTTCTTGGCGGAGGTGAGTGGTAAGCCCACGTTTGCGCCTTTTGTGACTTGTCCTTGATGCTTTTTGTGCCTGCAGAACCCTTGGCCACACTCAAGGAGTGGGTAACAGAATTGTTTGAAGACATTCCGGAAGGCAGCAGCAAGCCGCAACGTTTTTCCTGGAATGGGCCTGTTTGGCCTGCAGGGAAAATCTATCATGTGGAATCAGTTAAAGATCAGCATCGACTTATATTGAGCTGGGTCATGCCATGCTTGCACACCGAGTATCTGAAGAAACCTCATGACTACCTCTCTCATATAATTGGACACGGTACGTTCATGGTTTTGATTGACAAAAGAGTTACTATTTTTTTTCTTCGTCGGTGCAGAGGGAAAGGGAAGCTTGCTGCAGTTTCTAAAAGCAAATGGCTGGGCCACAGATTTAGCTGCGGGTGTTAGCGAGGATGATTTTGAAAAGAGTACTGCTGGCTATCTTTTCTCAGTCTGTATTAACTTGACTGTCTCCGGCTTGGGCAAGGTAATTCATCTGATTCTCTTTGGATGTGTTAAATGACGCCTGAATGCAGATCCACGAAATCGTAGGAAATTTTTTCGAGTTTGTTAAATTGCTTCGGGATAGTAAACCTCAGGAGTGGATTTTTGAAGAGCTTCACGCAGTTTCGGCCATGGATTTTAGATTTGTGGAAGAAGAACCAGCAGATGATTACGTCTCCACTCTTGCAAGTAAGCAAATGCGGAACAGAAACATCCATAACAACGTGTTTTTGTTCGGGCAGAGAATATGCACCTATTTCCAGAGCACCATGTTATTTATGGTGATTATGCTCATGACCAGTGGGATCCCAAGCTGGCAGAAGAGCTTCTGAACTATTTGAGCCCCATGACGATGCGAGTTGATATTGTTACGAAATCATTCAACAAAGACGCACCAGGTATTTTTTTTCGTGTTCTTTAAGGCGTATGCTAACCAATTTATGAATCTAGATGTGGTGTTCGAGCCCTGGTTTGGAACACCTTACGTCGTGAACGAAGCACCGAAAGATCTACTCAACGGTTGGCTTAATCCACTGGCTGTAAACGATGCATTACACCTCCCGGCTGTCAATGAGTTTATATCTCGTGACTTTAGCATCAAGTCCGCTGATGACTCCAACGTGCTGCCCGTTGTTATCGCAGAGGACTCGTCAGTGAAGGTCTGGCACAAGCTGGATCGGACGTTTCAAACTCCTCGAGCAAATGTGTTTATGAAACTCTCTTGCCGAATGGACGGTCTGCGCTCCGAGGTGCTAACAAGCTTGTATACGTTGCTTCTAAAGGATGCTCTAAACGAGACCATATACATGGTACGTTTTTTTTTTTTTTTTTCCAGTTGTGACAAGCTCGTCCATATTTTCGTTTTTTCAGGCAACTGTCGCCGGTTTGTCCTCTTCAGTGGTGGCGAACATACATAATATCGAGTTTAAGGTGCATGGCTACAATGAGAAGCTGGGCGTTCTTGCCCAGCAAATATGTCAACTATTGAAGGCGTTAGTACCCGCGAATGATCGTTTCGAGGTCAATACAAATTCGCTTTATAACTTTGAAACTTCTAACTTTTTGTTTTTCAGGTCGCCAAAGAGCAGTATGAACGACTCTGCCGAAATGCCAGAGTAAAGCCCATGACTCACTCAGCAGCTCTTAGAGTTCAAATCCTTAGAATGGGAAGCTGGAGCGAAGAGGAAAGGCTGGCGTGTCTTTCAACATTGAGCGCTGAAGATGTCCGTAATTTCATTCCCCAGCTTTTCAGAGAGGTAAGAGTTTTATTTTCATGCTAGTTTATCCTATAGCTAGAATGAATTTCCATTAGGCACACGTGGAAGCTCTTTGCCATGGCAACCTTACGAAAGAAGAGGCGCTTGATATTGTGAATGTCGTGAAAAGTACGGTGGTGACTGTACCAATGCTAGAAGAAACGATGCCAAAGATAAGGATTGTGAAAATCCCTTCTCAGACCGACTTTGCGTATAATGTCCCGGTTGTGAACCCATTGGAAGAAAACTCTGTTGCTGAGGTACGCAAAATCTTGTCGGCTGGTGTTTTCTGAAGTGTTGGATTCGTGTTTTAGCTGTATTTTCAAATGGGATTGGATCTGGGAGCCGAGTCTGTCCGTGAACACATTCTCGGTGATCTTTTTGAACAAATGGTTTACGAGCCATTCTTCAACCAGCTGAGGTATGGTTTTCTTCGTTGACTCGCCAAACACGAACTCTTGACGCCGGTACTTCCAGGACGATTGAACAACTAGGATACAGAGTTGATTGCGGAACTCGTTACACCTATGGTGTATTGGGATTTTGCTTCCGGATTATGTCATCCAAGTACAGCCCCACGCACATCCACAAGCGAATTGAGGACTTCATCGATAAGCTGCAAAAGACTCTAGTAAGAACCATTCACTCTTGAGTGAGAGGCGGTCTCATCTTTGTTTGCTCAGGATGATATGTCGGAGGAAGCGTTTGATAACTACAAAAACTGCCTGATAGCAGAAAAGATGGAGAAAGACAAGTGCTTGAGTGAAGAAACTGACCGCCACTGGGGGCACGTACTGGACCAAAGGTATAGATAATAGTCTCATCGTTTCCAACTGGTTGCTTACACAAGTTGAGATCGTCTTCTAGGTACTTGTTTGATGCTCATGAGAAAGAGGCAGTGGCCCTCAAGGACATCAAGAAAGAGGACGTGGTGGAGTGGTACAAGCAGCACATTAGAGCTGGCGGATCCATGCGGCGAAGCTTGTGCATCCACGTCTGGGGGTGTCAGTTCAAGGACGAGATGCAGAAGAACAAGAACAAGAGGAACAAGAGGACACCTTACAGGCTGATCGAGGATATAGACGAGTTTAAGAACAAGGCAGAGTTATATCCTCCATTTCCATGATCCAGGTACTGGAAAATTCTCAATTGCAAAACCAGTTTTTCCAAAGGAAAGCTCTCGTAAAGACGGTCATAGAGTTCTTGGAGGAGATCGAGCTTCGATGGCAGTATGGCCACGACGAGCGTTTTGTCACCGGCAGAGTTGGATCTCGTCCAGAGCTGCAAAACACTCCACCGGGCTCACGGCGTCAGCGCGTCAATTCTCTCTGGACCAAATGGAGACGCCACCTACACTCGCAACACTCTCCTCCAGATGTACGCCAAGCTCGGCAGCGTCCACCACGCCCGCTCCATCTTCGACTCCATCGCTAGAAGAGATGACTACTCTTGGGTCATGATGCTCACGGCCTATGCCCAAAACGGGCATCTCACCCTCGCAAGGAGCGTCTTTGACGCCATGCCCGAGAGAAACGTCGCTGCGTGGAACGCGATGCTGGCAGGCTATGCCCAGAATGGTCGTCTCGAGGAAGCAAAAGAGGTTTTCTCCGAGATGCCTGTTTGGAATATCGTCTCGTGGACAACTATGGTGACTGCAAATGCCCAGAACGGGTATGTTCTTGAGGCAAAGATCCTCTTTGAGAAGATGCCAGAGATCAACTTGGTCTCTTGCAACGCTCTCCACTCGGCATTCGCTCGGAATGGTTTCGTGAGAGAAGCGAAAGAGGTGTTTGATTCAATGCCGGCGAGGAATGTCTTGTCATGGACGAGCATGCTGACTGCATATGCTCAAAAGCGGCATATCGACCAGGCAATGGAGTGTTTCCGCGAGATGCCAGAGGCCAACGTCGTTTCTTGGAACACAGTGCTGGGAGCTCTCTCTCAGTCCTCCCGAGCTGGCGAAGCAAAGAGAGTGTTTGCAAGAATGCCAGAGACCGACTTGATATCCTGGAACGCAGTTCTGGGAGCAGTGGCCGGGAACATCACCGACGCAGTGGAGCTCTTCGATAGAATGCCGGAGAGAAACACTGCCTCCTTCAACACGATGATCACAGCTTACGCTCAGCACGGTCGGCTCGAAGACGCGAGGAGGATTTTTGAGGTGCTTCCCGAGAGAGACATGATTTCGTGGAATGGGATGCTCACAGCGTACGCACAGAACGGTCACGTAGCGCAAGCTGCGAGGATTTTCTTCCAATCAATGCCAAAGCACGACATGGTGTCCGGGAACATTCTCCTGGCAGCTTACGGCCAGGCCGGGCGTGTGCAAGAGGCAAAGAGCGTCTTTGATGGCATGATGGAGCACAATCTAGTGGCCTGGAATGGAATGCTCGTCGCTTACGCCGCGAAAGCTCGACTAGAGGACGCAAAACTGGTTTTTGATGCGATGCCGGACAGTGATATCGTCTCCTGGAATGTGATGCTCGGCTTGTATGCTCAGGCCGGGCATTTGGAGGAGTCGCAGTGCCTGTTTGGAGTGATGAAGGAGAGAAACGTTGTGTCGTGGACGAGCATGGTGGCAGCGTACGCTCAAAACCGGCAGCTCCAGCAAGCTCGGAGCTTCTTCTTCGAAATGCCCGAGTGGAACGTCGTGACTTGGACGGCCATGCTCGTCGCCTACGCTCGAGACGGTCACCTGGAGGAGGCAAAGTTTGTGTTTGATAGCATGCCAGAAAGGGACCAAGTTGCGTGGAACGCTTTGCTCGAGGCCTATGCCGAAGCTGGTCACTTGGATCACGCGAAGAACTTGTTCGATCAAATGCCGGATAGGAATCTCGTCTCCTGGACCGCGATGCTCGCAGCGCATGCTCAAGATGGTCTTCTCCTAGAAGCTGAATTGCTCCATCACTCGATGCCACAGCGAGACTCGGCCACTTGGAACGTAATGCTCGACGGCCAAGAGGGTCTTCTCGATCGAGCAAACTCTTCGATCGACGCACTCGAAGTTTTCCAGCTCGTGAAGATCGAAGGCATGGAACCGGACGAGATTTCCTTCCGGTGTATACTTTTGGGTTGCAGCCACACGGGGGATGTAGGCGCCGCCAGATCTTGCTTTGCTTCGCTCGTCTCGGACCACTCCATGAAACCATCCAAGGAGCTCTACACTTGCATGGTGGATATCTTGTGCCGGGCAGCATACTTGGAGGACGCTCATGAGCTTCTCAACACCATGCCTTTCATGCCTCAAGCAATGGACTGGCAGTGCTTGCTTCGGGCTACGCGAAGCCATGACTTTGCCACTGGTGCGAGTGATTCCGATCAAGCAGCCAAAAGAGCTCTGGATTTAAATTCGAAATCCTCCGCGCCGTATGTATTATTAGCAAATTTGTATTCTAGAACCATTCAAAACTAAAGAATATACTTAGATCCTTATTTCCAACAGCTTGATTTTTATTAATTTAAATGTAGCAATTGATAAGCACTCTATCATGAAATTCTTTTTAGTCTCTTCTGGTTTACTGGTTAGTTTATTCTTAATTAGATTCATACATGCAGCAGAAATTGATTGCACACTACGTATCCCTAAATATAAAGAATTCACAATAAAATATGATAATGGTATAAATGTACTAATCATTTACATTGATTAAATCAAGACTATGAAATTTTTGTTTTTCATGGTGCTGCACAATTTTTAACGAATGGCTGGCGCGGTTGGCAAAATTGGGCTTTTAGAGGTTGTTTCTTTCATGAATTAAATTCTGATAGTGTTGTATTTTGTTGAAATAAAATATTATCATTGGCTTTCTAAATAATATGGTTAATAAAAGGTTTTGCCTTGTTAAATCTAGTGCGAGACAATGTTTGCAAGCATTACATACGGTGCTGGATGGTTTGGATCTGACTCAAGAGCCAACTTTGCCATGAGTGGTGCTCCTTTCGGACTCATCTGGCTGAAACTGAGCAAGCTCTGCCAGTTGATGACGTCGTTCACAAACGGCATGCTCTTGACAAGCTCCTGTGCGTTGTTTACATCGCCAGATCGAGCGAAGACGTCGGCCAAGCAGCCATAGATAACCTTGGATGGTTTCATGCCAAAGTCCCTCCTCAGCGACCAAACCAAGTCCCGGGCCACCAAAACACTTCCGGCGTAGTTGCATCCCAGCACAATGCACAGGAAAGTGGTCTCGTTTGGTTCCATGCCCGCCATCTCCATTCTCTGGAAGAGCTTGACGACGTTTCCCAGGCCTCCTCGCTGGGAGAGAGTTGCAAGCATCGAATTCCAAGACACCACATTTGTCTCCGGCATCTCGTCCAACAACACTTTCAAGGCCCCGTCCAAAAGCCCATTCCTTGCGAAGGCCCACAGCATCACATTCCAGGAGACAACGTCCTTTTGGATCATCCGGAAGAAGAAATCTTTGGCATCGGTCAGAGGCCCGTTCTCGGCATAGCCGGACAAGAGAGTGTTCAACGAAACCATGTCCCAAGCTGGCATTCCATCAAAAAGCAATTTTGAGTCGTCGACAAGCCCGTTTTGGGCGTAAGCACCGAGCATGGCGTTCCATGAAACCAAGTTTCTCTTGATCATCACGTCAAACAAGCTCTTGCATTCCTCGACTCGGCCACTCCGAGCGTACGCGGTGAGCATCGTGTTGCTGGACACCAGATTTGTTTCTTTCATCTCGTCAAAAAGTCTCTGTGCCTCGTTTGTATTATCGACTCGTGCATATCCATCAAGCATGATGTTCCAAGCTACGGCATCCCAAACCGGCATCTTGTCAAACAAGGCTTTTGCTTTGGGGATTTGCCCGTTTTGAGCGTAGGCCGCCACCATGGCCGTCCACGAAACAATGCTTTGCTGTGGCATCTTATCAAACAAGGCTCTTGCCTCGTCAACTTTTCCACTGCTCGCAAACGCATGTAACATTCCAGCACACGAGACAAGGCTGTGCTCAGGCATGGAATCATAAAGAGCCTTCGCCTTCGCAAAATCACCGCTTTGGACAAATGCTGTAAGCATAGCGTTCCAAGAAACCGTGTCTTTCTCCTCAATGGAATTAAACAGGTAGAAAGCTTTGTCGATCTCACCGCTGGAAGCGTAAACATCTAGCATAATCGTGTAAGCCGCCAGAGATTTCTCAGGCATAGAATCAAAAACTCGTTTCGCCTCTTCAAAATGCCCACTTGCGGCATACGCTGTTAACATTCTTAACCACGACGCAGCATTCCATTCGGGCATGGCAGCACAGCTATCCGCCACCTTTCTAAACTCCTTTGACTGCCCATAAACGACTATAAGCGCGTTCCACGAGAAAATGTCCCATGCAGGCATAGAATCAAAGAGCTTCTTCGATTCTACAACATGACCACTCTGGGCATATGCAGTAACGATCGTGTTCCACGACACTAAATCCCTTTCGAGCATTGAATCGAACATCTTCTTGGCATCTTGGAGATGCCCAGCGCGGGCATAAAGTCCCAGCATTGTGTTCCATGAAACAACGTTGGTCTCCGCAAATTCCTCGAGGAAGAACTTGCGAGCTTGCGACACCATTTTCTTGTGAGCGTAGGCAGCTAGCATGGCATTGCAGGAGCTCACATTCCTGGCGGGCATTCGATCGAAAAGCTCTCTGGCCTCGGTGACGCGGCCATTGCGAGCGTAGAACGAAAGCATCGACACCCATGCCGACTGATCCAAACTTCCCTTGCTGGAGAGAAGATGGTCGAAGATCGCGCGAGCCTCTTCCACGCTACCACACCGGCGGATATCAAGAACAGCCAGCTTCTATCAAAATGTGTGTAGTCTTATCAAAATCGCAAGAAGAAAACGAGAAGCATCATAGCTCTATCAAAGAGAAGCGCGAGAAGAAAACCAAAAAGCTAGAGACAATACTTACAGGAGGGGAAAACCGCTGCGTGCTCTCGATCTTCTTTCACTGCTGGCGGGGTCTCGCACGACCAATAAGGCGGCATTGATACGGTAGCAACGCTGCTGATATCGGACTGTTTAGCTCCAGGAGCTCGCCATCGATCCCACAACCTTGAAGATCATTTCCTGCGGTTTTTAGTATAGCTTGGCGCACCTGTTTGTTGCAAAGCATTAGCGAAGTAGCGAAAGCAAAAAAAGATGTTGATGCGGGAGGGAGCGAGCTTACCTTGATGTACTCGACGAATGGTAGTTTCAAGTGACGGTTGAACTGCATCGACCAGAAGAAACGCAGGAGTTGCAACCGGCCCACTGCTCGCACGATGATCAAGTCGAGGTTCCCGTCGTCGTGCTCGGCCCCGGGAGCAAGAACTTGAGATGGTAGGCACTGCACCGTCTTGCACTGATGGTTGCACAGCATAATTCCCAGAAAGTATCCCTGCCTGTGCTCCCACTTTGGCACCACGCTGTCACTGGACGGTGGGAAGCTATCCGACTCGGAGCTGAATCTGGAGTCGACTGGACTGTCCCATTTCGGTCCCGGACTGTCCCATTTCGGTGCTGGACTGTCCCACTTCGGTGCTGGACTGTCCCACTTCGGTGCCGACGACACGTTTTCTGCTTCCCCGTTGGAAGAGATCACAGAGTTGGCACGCGAAACTCTGGCCGACTCGCCGTCCACGCTCAGCCCCGACCAGCTTTTCTCGGACCTCGACTTGGACCTCGTCCGTGGCCTCGGAGACGGACTAGTTGTTCCGTGGTGGACGGAAAGAGCCTCCTCGGTGCAGCAACCGGGAAAGGAAGCTCGAGTCGAGAGTTGCTTCTTTGTCTTCCCGTCGAGGCCTCTGACGTAGTCGGATGGCTCGTTTGTAGCATCGTGATCATTCTCCGTCGAAGTGCTTCTTGAAAAGATGGCCTCGATGGTCCCTGCCTCGAGGTCTCCATGTCTGTCGACTTCCAGACGAACGTTCGGGCCGCTGGCTTCGTCTTTCTTGGTGTCGACTGGGACGAAATCTATTTCACACTTGTACTGCGGCAAACGGAGTAGCTTCAGAGCACCTGCTACGAAGTACCGCAATGGTCCAAACCTTTTCTGGTATTTACTAGAAAGCTCCAAGACTGCAATTCACTTAAATCAAATCCTGTGGTAGCAAAAGGACAATGAGATACCCACCATCACTCATAAATCCATAATATGCAATTGTAAAGCCAAGATGAACAGCACCAGTTTTTGTCCATTCCACGCCAAGAACATCCATACCCACCATGCCTCCCTAAAACTCAAAAGACGAAAATGAGAAAGTCTAGCCTTGACTCCAAAATAGCAGAACAAAGGAATACTACCTTCACGATTGCAACAGCAGCGGAGACGGGATCGCGAATACCTAAGACGGTCCATACCAACGAGTTATCAGAGCCGGCCGGGATAATGCCAATGGGAACCTCCGATGCTCTGTGTGGATTATCTCTGCTAAGTAAGCCGTTCAACACCTACACAAAAACAGAAAGCAAGCAACGGAGTCTTTAAGACCGTGTTTCCCGATGAGTAAATTACCTCGTTCACAATCCCGTCGCCACCAACACAAATAATTCCTAAAAGAGACAAGTCAGTTGCAAAGTGAACACATGGTACGCTAGAAAACGCGTGACTTACCATCTGGACAAGTAGAGAGATCGACAGTAGATGCCAGTGTTTGAGCGTGACGGGCATCCGTGGTCTCGACAATTGTAAGTCTAAAACCAGCCAGCTGTAAGAAAGATGCACTGTGTCCGTGAGTAAATGCAAAGTGAATGCTCAAAGTACTTGCCTTCAGGACTGGCTCCGCCTTACTGAACACCTTGCGAGCACGACCACGACCGGAGCGAGGATTCAGAATGACAAGCACCGTAGGACGGGACCGGCACCTGATCGAGGGAGACGGAGAGGATCCCGCATCGACAACAGTGCTCTTCTTCTTCGAGGATGCGAGCGGGTGCCTCAAAAAGTTGATGTGGCAACCTTGGTCGGCGAAGGCAGAGACCCACTGCAAAACCTCTTCGGCATCAGGAGCTAGGAAATGTAGATCTTTCCGAGACCTCCGCGAGCTCGAGATCCATTTCTCTTTCGTGACTTGATACGAGTGAATTGTAAAGCGTCGACTTCCGTCGCTGTAAGAAACCTGGCAAGTTACACGAATGAGCAACCAAGCGAAGAAACGAAAGAAGAAAGAAGAAAGAACTTACAGCGACAACGTCTTCGAGCCTCAAACAGTGAAGACCCCAGATGAGTGCCTTGGTAGTGAGCTTGGCGTGGACCTCCACAGTAGCCATGTTTATGTTCTCTTGCGTGCCAGTGCCTGGAGGAGCCACCATACCCGTCATGACAATCTCCCCCAGCAAATCCAAGTCCTCATCCTTGATATTTATTTTGTGGTCGCCAGGTACCTCTCTCTCGCCTTTCTTCGAGCGCCTGGCACTTCCAGAGAGCCCCCATTTGCTCTTCTTGGACGATGGTGGAGGGGGCAAAGCCTGCGGCGGCGCCTCCTGGTCCCCCGGCTGAGAATTCTCCGTCTTCTTCGCTAGAACGCGTAGAGGATTGATCGAACCCCGCATCTCTGCCCAATTCCCACGACTCACAGCGCCGATCGTAGTACCATCCCCTGGAAATTTAGAAGGCCGAGTTAGCGGCGCGAGAGAGAAGGGGAAAAAGACCTAGGAAATGCGCGACAATCAAGGATCTGGAGGAGAGAGAATGCGCCTGGCTACAGTGAGGAAGAGCTGCATTCCAGCTAGAGGACGAGAGAGAGTGCCGTGAGCACGATGATCTTCTCGGAATTTCGTACAGCGCCTACGATCTAATCCCCAAATCACACTGTTTGGATCGTGAGCTTACCTGTTGGCGCCGCCGTCGCGCTGCTACAGTGTTCTTCGCTCCTCCTCCTCTTCCTTGCCTGACCCGCTGCTGGGCATGGTCTGTGACATCAGCAAATGCCCTAGAAGGTGGAGCATATTCTACTAGATACTTTTTTACGAGATGCGGATCTCAAACCTGGAATAAATTGTGGCCCTAAAATTACGCTCTCGGGGTATATGCGAATTTGAAGTAGAGAATGTTTCGGGCCAGGTTTAGGGTTTTCTAGCGAGAGATGGATTCGATGATCGGCAGCTGCGCCTTCGCTGCCACGGCCCCTAGGTTTGCATCCGGGAAGACGCCCGCGCTAGGGTTTGCCGATTTCACCCGAAATGCGGCTCCGTCGTTGCTGGGATCAAGAACTCCACGGAATGGAGCACTCTCAGCGCGCACAGGGAAGAGATTTCTCCCAATCAGGGCCACGGCAGTGAAGGAGGCCAGGAATCGCGATCCGCCAGCGGCGGTAAGTCCGGATTGTCGCAAAGTCATGGTGATTGGGGGCGATGGCTACTGCGGCTGGGCGACAGCATTGCATCTTTCCAAGCAGGGCTACGAGGTTGCAATCGTGGACAGCCTTGTGAGGAGGCTCTTTGACGAGCAGCTCGGCACTTACACTCTTACGCCCATAGCTTCGATCCAGGAGAGACTAAAAAAGTGGAAAGAGAAATCCGGCAAGACGATTGATCTCTTCGTCGGTGATATCTGCGAGTTCCAGTTCCTGGAGAGCTGCTTCAAGTCTTTCGAGCCCAATGCAGTGGTACACTTTGGCGAGCAAAGATCGGCACCGTATTCCATGATCGATCGCTCTCGAGCGGTGTACACGCAGCACAACAACATCGTTGGAACGATCAACGTCCTGTTCGCGATCAAAGAATTTTCTCCGGAGTGTCACCTAGTGAAGTTGGGGACGATGGGAGAGTATGGAACTCCAAACATCGATATCGAGGAGGGATTTATCACCATCACGCACAATGGAAGGACCGACACTCTACCATATCCCAAGCAGGCAAGCTCGTTCTATCATCTCAGCAAGGTTCACGACTCCCACAACATTGCTTTTACTTGCAAAGCTTGGGGAGTGAGAGCCACAGATCTAAACCAAGGAGTAGTCTATGGAACCTTCACTCCAGAGACGCAGGAAGACGAAGCTCTGATCAACAGGCTCGACTACGACGCCATCTTTGGCACTGCTCTAAACAGGTTTTGCGTCCAGGCAGCCATCGGGCATCCATTGACAGTTTATGGGAAAGGAGGACAGGCAAGAACTCTCGAGCTTTTTGTTCGATGGAAGGCTAACTCTTTTCTGATCTAGACTCGAGGGTACCTGGATATCAGGGATACAGTGCGGTGTGTGGAGCTCGCCATCGCCAACCCAGCAAAACTGGGTGAGTTTCGAGTTTTCAATCAGTTCACTGAGCAGTTTTCCGTGAACGAGCTTGCCAAGCTCGTCACAAAGGCCGGCGAGAAGCTGGGGATTGAGGTGAAGACCCAGAGCGTTCCAAATCCTCGAGTAGAAGCGGAAGAACACTACTATAACGCCAAGCACACCAAGCTGATGGAGCTTGGCCTGGAGCCGCATTTCCTCTCCGAGGGGCTGCTCGATTCGCTCCTCAATGTGGCGATCAAATACGCTGCTCGCATCAACACGTCTTTGATCATGCCCGACATCTCCTGGAAGAAGATTGGAGTCACGCCCAGAACGCTAGTCTCCAAGCAGCCTTGATGATCCTTTTTGTTCTTCTTTAACTTCGGAAAGTATGCCCCGAATATTCGTTGTTTGCGAATATGCTATAAATATTCTAAAATATTTTGCAAAGAGCTCTTCCCGCGCGCCATAGCTAGGGTTTTAGGGGACTCATCGATGGGAGCGGCGTGAAGGAGGCGATGAGGTGCAATGCGTGCTGGAAGGAGCTGGAAGGGCGCGCCGTAGCCACTGTCTGTGGCCACATTTTCTGTAAGCGCGCGCGCTGGCGCCGATCGATGGATCCCATGCGATTTCGTCTGTCACTGATCGCGATGCTTGCTTCTCGCCAGGCAACGAGGATGCCGCCAAGATTCTCACTTGCGACTCAACATGTCCTCTGTGCGAGCAGATCTTGTCCAAGAGGTATGATCTACCAAAATATTTCTCCCCCATTGCAATCACCGCCATTTCAGCAACATGAAGTCCCTCGACTTGAATCCAAACGACGACTGGACTAATGTAAGTCGATCTGTGCCTGGCAATCGTCTAAGATCCAAGGTTTCGTGCAGATGATCATGGCCGGAGTACCGCCTCACTGCAGTATCCTTTCTCAAAGTTGTGCTTCTCCAGTGTTTTTTTTTTTTTTTTTGTAAGCTAGCTAGCCAGGCGGCCTTAACTCTGCAAAGTCATGAAGAGCGCGTTCAAGGGTGTCATCTTCTGGATCGGGCAGAAAGACGTGGAATCGCAGCTCACAGTGAATCGGGCAACGCAATGGAAGCAGAAGTGCAAAGAAATGGAAGCGACCTTTATGCAGAAGATGTCCGAGTTCCAGGGAGCTTACCAAAAGGCCGTCAAGAGAGTCCAGGCGCTGGAAGCCGAGCGAGACAGCCTGCTCAAAGACAAGAGCGAACTGGAGGAGAAGTACTCGGAGAAGTCACGGTAAGCTAAACTCATGAGTTCTTGGTTGTTTTTTAATTCAGGGGAATGACTTACAGGCAGAAGAGGAAGCTGGAGGAAATGTACGACTCTCTTCGTACCGAGTACGAGAAAACGAAGATGAATGCTTCACGGCCGCCTCCAGCACGTATGGGAAGCCCGAACGGGATAGCCGACTCTGATCTCTGGCAGTCGAGGCCTGCTCAAAAAGCCGGGGCATTCCACCATCAATCGCTGCTTCCTCCGACGAGAAGACCGGCACCAGCTCCTGCTCCAATGCTAACGAACAGGCAGCGTCAGACCTCTCCATTCAAGTCGGCGGACTCGGACATGTTTGCGCCACCGCCACCTGCCAGGAACACCTCGAATGCGCTGCGAAATCTGCTGCTCTCGCCACTCAAGAGGCCAATATCGAGACTTGGAGCACCCGGACTGAGGTACCCAAAGTTTAAGCTTGAGTGCGCGTGAGTGACACCTTCTCTTTAAAAAAAAAAAAATTGTGCTTGCAGCTCTTGAGCTGGACGGAGGAGGCGCGATCGAATCAAAAAGCTCAAATTCTACTTCGTGTAAGCACGTCATTTGTTTCTGTACAGTTCTTTTTTCTCGCGTTTAAATTGTCAGCTGACAGCGACTTTGAGAGGTTTTTGGACTAATTTAGGGCTGACGGTTTGAGGCCAGTCTCAGAAGATAGTCTTTGTGAGACGCTACTTCAACCGTGTCTGCATTTGCGATATTCGCATCGAGTAGATGCGAATCGCGTCCCCGCCGGGGTCGGTGACAGCTCCGCCTTGGCAACGTGAGCAACGCCGCAAGGTTTTTGGTTGTTCGTCGTTTTCATTTCACAGGACGGACTCCCAGCTCTCCGTTTTGGTACACTCAACTCATCAACCGACGGCTCAAGCAATCGTTGGCGGCGTTGTATCCGAGGTAAGGAACTTGTTTTTTTTAATGCTTTCTCAACCTTGAAATTGCAGGCTGCTGGGGCTTCTTCATCTCGGAGTTCCAAGAAAATGCCGACAACTGCTGGAGGCGGCACTCCATTCTTTCCTCGGAGGTGGATATTGTTTGCCTATCTCGTTCTGGGAGTGAATGCTGCGGTCTACCTCCGGCCGGCTGCTCGGCCTCTTCTCAATCTCGTTGATCAGAATGGTCTCGAAAATGAAATCGAGCAGGTACGCTAAAGAGGTCTTTCTTTCTTTGTCTCACTGATTCATAACAGGTGCGTGTCTCGTTAGCAGCAGCGAACCACATGAGAGTAAGCTGGATTTCATCGAGCTCCAATTCTCCCTCTAGTGTGCAATACGGAACATCACCCGGCAAGTACGAGTCAAGTGCTACTGGATCCAAACTCAATTATGGGTTCTTGCTCTACAAATCCGGCACGATTCACGGTGCAGTTCTTGGTCCTTTGGAAAACAATACTGTCTACTACTACAAATGTGGAGGAATGGGGAAGGAATTCAGTTTCAAGACACCGCCGGCTAACTTGCCCGTAACGTTCGCCGTAGTCGGTTAGTTTCCAACGTTTGGTTCTTGCGTGTGCTTGACCCGTTTCCTTTTTTCCCGAGCAGGAGACATTGGACAAACGGGATGGACAGTTACTACTCTAGAACACGTACAGAAAAGCACCTACGATGTGCTATTGTTTGCTGGAGACTTGTCGTACGCGGATTATTACCAGCCACGGTGGGATTCTTTCGGCAGGCTTGTGGAACCCTCGGCAAGCTCGAGGCCCTGGATGGTGACGGAAGGAAACCACGAGATTGAAAGGATTCCTCTCATCAGTTCGTTTAGAGCTTACAACACTCGCTGGAGAATGCCGTACGAAGAGAGCGGGTCTGATTCGAATCTCTACTATTCGTTCGACGTTGCTGGAGCTCACGTGCTGATGCTGGGATCATATGCCGACTTCGGACAACGCTCGCCTCAGTATAAGTGGCTACAGGTACTTTTCTTCTCTATTTTTTTTCGCAGCTTAGCTTTTGGGTGATGTGATCGTACCTCAGGCAGATCTTGCGAGGATTGATCGCAAAAGGACCCCTTGGCTCATTGCTGTTCTACATGCTCCGTGGTACAACAGCAACGAGGCGCACCGAAACGAAGGCGACGACATGATGAAAGCGATTGAGTCTCTTCTGCAAGCAGCAGGGACTGACCTTTTATTCGCAGGCCATGTCCATGCATACGAACGATGGGTACTGCTCTCGAGAATCTTTGCTTTCTACTTTACTAAGTTCTCTTGGCAGGACCGGATGTTCCAAGGAAAGAAAGACGACTGCGGCATTGTTCACATAACAATTGGAGATGGTGGCAACCGTGAAGGCCTCGCAACCAAGTAAGCTCTTCGTTGATTTCCTTTCTCTTTGCCACTAACACAGGTTTCTTCCAGGTTCCTTGATCCCAAGCCTGAGAATTCTCTCTTTCGTGAAGCCAGCTTTGGACACGGCCAGTTCAAGCTCGTGAATTCCACTCACGCTCACTGGAGCTGGCACAGGAATGACGACGATCAAGCAAAAATCGCGGACGAGCTGTGGATCCAATCCTTGAGCTCAACCGGATGCTCTCTAGCCAGCAAAAAGATGCGATGATAGCCGTTGGAACCTTTTTCATATAACATGATTCTTTTAGCATCTAGTTTGAATAGTTAGGGTTTTAGGGACAGGCGGGAGACCATGGCCGCTTGCCGCTGGCGCTCCGCGGCGCTCCAATCTCCTGGAGCTGGACATGGATCGGGGGTTCCGCCGGAAGAGCTCCTGGCAAGGATTCAAGGTCAGCGCCTCCCGCATTCTGTCGTATGCATCGAAATTCTGGCATTCTTGCAGATTTTATCAAGGAGTTTCTTTCTCGTATCAAGGATCGATCGATGCTGGTGATCAGTCTGGATAAATTTCGGATGCGCAAGCTTCGCTCTTCCGAGGACACGAATCTGTGAGCAAGTTTTGTTTGGAAGGTTTCTCATTCTTGCTTGCCGTGCTGCTTGTTTGCGCAGCGGGATATTTGAAAGATGTGAGGCGCAAGAAAACCTCTCACTCCAAACAAGTGGCCGTAGAATCCGTAAGTACTATTATGTCTCTTCACAGCTTGTGACTGATCTATCGTTTCGAATTCTTTTCCTAGTCGCTATGCTCAGGGTCCTTCAAATTGTCCAGTCGCTACTCCAGCAGGGAAAACATGCATCGAAACGAGACCTCTACTACACCGATCCTGGTCTATTCAAAGGCACGCATGCTCTCTACTCTACTCGCTTTTTATGCTAGCGGTGGTTTTATTATAGCAGACCAAGCAACCGTGAACCAAGCTTTGATTGACATTTCCGTCAGGCTCAAGTGTACTAGATCTTCTCTTCACGTAGTAAGCTTTACCTGTTGATTGAATTTACCATCTGACAAGTCTGTCTTTCAGGTTTCTGTCGGCAAAGGGTACGTTCTCGCTACGTTGTGGAAGACTGGCGTCTTAGAGTTGATGCTCTTGCAGTTTAATCATGGGATCGCTGCGATTCAAGGATGCTGACAGGACAATTGACTGCTCGGTTTGCAAGTCTCGCGTAAGGCTAGTCTGTTTATTGACACAGTTGATACACTTGACTTTGTTCATTCAGGGCTATCCCATTCCCACAGATGCGAAGATGGTAACGGGTATCTTAGTCTTGCGATGATGAGTCCTTTTTTTAATATTCTTTTCCTTGACCACCACAAAGACATCAGCAGTTGTGCAGAATACATTATCGTAGTCGAAAAGGAAACCGGTAAATAATCTTCTGTCTGCCTCTTTCGTAACATCTTTCTTCTCAGTCTTTCAGCGACTGGCAAATGATGGATTTTGCAGGAAGAACAACTGTATAGTACTAACTGTAAGTTCTTCACACTTTTTCTACCTTGATCATAGATTCTTACGCACATGTACAGGGGAGAGGGTACCCCGACGTGGCTACAAGGAGGTAACAAGATTGTTTTTGACACCGCGTTCGTAACTTCGGTTTTGTTTTCAGTTTTTTAAGGCTTCTGGCAGCTGAAACAAAGTTGCCCGTTTATGGATTGGTGGATGCCGATCCGTATGGCCTGGACATCCTTGCTACATACCGCTTCGGCTCGCCGGTGAGCGTTGTTTAATTGTCAAATTCTCAAGCAAATCCCGGCTTCCCCTTCAGACCATGGCATACGATGCTGAAGCTCTTGCTACACCAAGCATTCGATGGCTAGGAGTTTTCCTTTCTGATTGCCAAACGCATAATGTCCCGGATAGGTGCCTCCTTTCCCTGACAAACGACGGTAAGATCCAACTTTGTGATTGACAGATAGAAGAAAAGCCGAAGCCATGCTCAACAGAGACTACTTGAAGCACTTGGCATTCTCTTGGAAGTAATTTCAACCTGTGACTCTGTGCTAAATTTCTGTGGAGTTTTGCAGCCAGCAGTTGCGGCTGATGCTGGAGAAAGGTGTCAAACTCGAGCTGGAGGCACTGTCGGCTTCTAAATTTTCCGCGCTCGCGGACGACTACATTCCGCATAAGATCAAGGCGGCAGCATATTTGTGCTAGTATCCTTTTCGGACAGCAAACCGGTGCGTCATCCAATCAACACATTCAAAGGGAGCATCGCATTATTACAGAGCACCTCGACGGGAATAATCTCTCTTGATCCCGCCAGCAACATATATGTGCTTCGTACATGGTATTTTGCTTCACTGCAAAGCTTATGGAATGCATGTGAGTCTCACACTCTGTGCTAGTCTCACTTCCGTCGCATCACAGAGTGACACATTCGATCGAACTATGGTTGAAGTGCCAAGACAATCGGGCAGACTAAACAAAATTCCAGCTTGCCCGGAGTATGTGAAGCGATAGTAGAGTGGAGTGGCCACACATGTAGAGAAGCAAGGATTGAGCTTGGCCGTGTAGCTCGTTCCAGGGTCTTGGCAACCCGGGAGGTCGTAAACATCGAGCCTGCCGTTAGCATCGACTTGAGTGATTAAGATTGTGATCACCGCCAGCACTGCTGCCATGATCTTCAAGAGATTGAGTGCCTGAGATCAAACAAGAGCACAGGAGTTGTTAATAGGTGTAATACGATGCAAAGTGTGCAGCCAAACCATTTCTCCAAGGACGGATTGTAGTTGAAGAACTAACCTTGTTCTTGTTTTATAGGAGTTTGAAGTGCTCATGGGTCGCGAGGATTAGCTTCTAGAAATTGGATGTGTGATCATGATCTGATTGGGTGATCGTGCAGCGCAAGACACACGCTCTGGAAAACATCCTTTGCAAAATCAAAATGTGTTTAGACTACAGTCTTAGTAGAGTGTGTAAGTGCATTAAAAAATATCCACGCTGAGCTGAACGAGTGTGCTGCTCTGCACGATTATCCAACTAGATCATTGATCATGCATGAAAATTCCTATAAATTATAATCATCCTCGCGACCCACGAGCACTTCAAACTCCTATAAAAAGCGGACACTAGTCCCTCAACTCCTCATCCTATTGTTCAAAGCTTTCAAGAAGCGTGTTACTGAGAAACAATGGTTCATAAAAGTGTTTCATTGACTCAAGCTAATCTTTTCGTTTTGTTATGCACAGGAAGTTCCTCTCTGCAAGTTCTCCCTGCTTCTTTCTCTGATCGTCACCCTGGTCATATGTATCGAAGGAAACAGTATCCTGGATGTTTATACAGTGGGCTGCCAGGATCCTGGAGTAAGCTTCACGGCAGGAACACCAGGATCTACATGCTCCAATTTGTGCGTTCCTGCCATTCCCGCTGGCTATAGATTCACGTTTGATGGACAGTTTGGTATCCTCTTTAGCCAGCCCAACTGCATGGGCTCAGCTACACGCTTGAATTCCAGCCAAGAAGTTTGTGCAGTGGTGAGCTCCAGCCCAATCAAGTCTTTCAAGTTCGCGTGTCTCTAGACATGCAATAAGACAAGTTGCTTAATTATTTAATTTGACAGCAATTATATATATATAAGTTTGTTTATGTGGTCCATCTAACCTTCATCTTCTTTTCGCTTGTGCTCCATATTCCAAACCACCTGTTGCAATTGACAGCGATTGCCAAGTAAGGATGTCTTATTCTGCTCTTGCCAGTGAAGAGTGATTTGATCTCTTAAGTGCTAGTATTGGGGACATTGGTAAAGGACATGAAAAACATCCTCTACATGTCTTAGGCAGCCGTTGCTCCTGTGAAATGCGTGGTCAACTGTGTCAGCTGTGTTCCACTTCTAGTCAATGGGCACTGCAGCGGTAGGCAGCCACTGTAGTGTGAACCCATGGTGCTGCATGGTGGTATGCAAGGCAGTCGAAGCGGCCTACTGGATTGAAAATGAACCAATGTCATACTTGGTGGCCCTGGCAGTCCTCTCTTCTAGCCATTGTATCAATACCATGTTCATCCAGGTGGAGTAGTTGTTGCGTGGATCTGAGATTGTTGTCCAAGCTCTCAGCTTGCTCCACCATCCTTTATTTCTCTCGTACACGGAGTCATCCATAGCCCTGGCTGCCAGCTTATCCTGGTGGTCTCATCACAATGCTTTGACAACGGCGGACTCTGCTGAACGGTCTAAGATACGAGCGAGGGGAGGCAACGGTTCTGCATTGCAACAATCAAGGAGCTATTGCCTTGACGAAGAATCCAAGATTTCAACGCAGTGTCAAAAACAATCTTCTTACCTCCTCGTAGCCACGTCGGGGTACCCTCTCCCCTGTACATGTGCGTAAGAATCTATGATCAAGGTAGAAAAAGTGTGAAGAACTTACAGTTAGTACTATACAGTTGTTCTTCCTGCAAAATCCATCATTTGCCAGTCGCTGAAAGACTGAGAGGGATGTTATGAAAGAGGCAGACGGAAGATTATTTACCGGTTTCCTTTTCGACTACGATAATGTATTCTGCACAACTGCTGATGTCTTTGTGGTGAAAAAGAAAGGAAAAGAATATTAAAAACAGGACTCATCATCGCAAGACTAAGATACCCGTTACCATCTTCGCATCTGTGGGAATGGGATAGCCCTGAATGAACAAAGTCAAGTGTATCAACTGTGTCAATAAACAGACTAGCCTTACGCGAGACTTGCAAACCGAGCAGTCAATTGTCCTGTCAGCATCCTTGAATCGCAGCGATCCCATGATTAAACTGCAAGAGCATCAACTCTAAGACGCCAGTCTTCCACAACGTAGCGAGAACGTACCCTTTGCCGACAGAAACCTGAAAGACAGACTTGTCAGATGGTAAATTCAATCAACAGGTAAAGCTTACTACGTGAAGAGAAGATCTAGTACACTTGAGCCTGACGGAAATGTCAATCAAAGCTTGGTTCACGGTTGCTTGATCTGTTATAATAAAACCACCGCTAGCATAAAAAGCGAGTAGAGTAGAGAGCATGCGTGCCTTTGAATAGACCAGGATCGGTGTAGTAGAGGTCTCGTTTCGATGCATGCTTTCCCTGCTGGAGTAGCGACTGGACAATTTGAAGGACCCTGAGCATAGCGACTAAGAAAATCGAAACGATAGATCAGTCACAAGCCGTGAAGAGACATGTAGTACTTACGGATTCTACGACCACTTGTTTGGAGTGAGAGCTTTTCTTGCGCCTCACACCTCTCAAATATCCCGCTGCGCAAACAAGCAGCACAGCAAGCAAGAATGAGAAACCTTCCAAACAAAACTTGCTCACAGATTCGTGTCCTCGGAAGAGTGAAGCCTGCGCATCCGAAATTTATCCAGACTGATCACCAGCATCGATCGATCCTTGATATGAGAAAGAAGCTCCTTGATAAAATCTGCAAGAACGCCAGAATTTCGATGCATACGACAGAATACGGGAGGCGCTGACCTTGAATCCTTGCCAGGAGCTCTTCCGGCGGAACCTCCGATCCATGTCCAGCTCCAGGAGATTGGAGCGCCGCGGAGCGCCAGCGGCAAGCGGCCATGGCCTCCCGCCTGTCTTTAAAACCATTCAAACTAGATGCTAAAAGAATCATGTTGAAGAGTTTTCTATAAGTTTTCTACATGGCCTAAATAGGGCTCAAGCTTGGGGGTGCAAGCAATTGTGATTTTGGTACTCAAGTCAAGAAAGCCCATTTGCAAGACACAGATGATTGCCTTCTAAAATTTGAAAATGTGAAAAAGATGGGAATGGAAATATATATATGCTATATAAGTGCTACTACATTATTGGGAACTTGAAAAGAGACTGAAAGAAGATGGTGCTTAATGAGAGGCATATTGGAGAAGGCTAATTTATTGATAACAACTTTACTTATAGAGAGTATGGGAATTTTTGGGCATATGGTGCTAAATTGCATGATATCTTTACTAATGGCGTAACTATGAAAATAATGTGGTTGAAATATTATATGAGATGGAAAACTAATTTTTTGTATGGTTTTACTTACTTGAATTTTTTCTTCTACATACCATTCTTAAAGATCAAAAAGCTACCAAGCTACTACCACTAGAGAGACTAAGGAATTTTAACCAAAAATAATACAAAACAATGTTTCTATAAATGGAGATATTATTGTCATGCTTTTGTAATCTATAGCTTTAGAGTTCTGGAAACAAAGCGAATGTGGATATATCTTATTTTTAAAGGAAATTAGCATTATTGTTAGTTGTTTAATACCCACCAAAGTAACAATTAAAACATAGAAAGTTGTGTGTGGTTTGGAAGAGGGAAATTCATAGAATATAATGGATATAAACATCACCATATACAGAGGCTATTGTATGAATGGCTCCATCTTTAAGGCAAACACAAATGCATGGTTGCAGCTCCAAAAAATTTAAATACTTTAAACTATATAGTTTTTATTATGTTTGTATATTTTCAATTCTCATGAAATATAGATTATACAACCTTCTCAGTTAAAATTAGTGACCACATTGAAACTTATGTTGCAACAAAGTATTACTGATATATTAATTACAATATTCAAGGGTAGTATTTACTTTGGTTTTCTATTTTTATTCTTACATGTCACATTTCTAGAGGCAGATAAACACACTGGATAGCATATTCTAACTTTTGGTTTTATACATTTTGATCATATATACATTCTTTTTATTGAGGAATTTGTTAAGGGAAGTTTTCATTCTCTCTCATTATGATACCTTTAGGTAGATGTAGTTTCATATAAATATTTGGAAGTGTTTTTCAACAATAACAAAACAATTCAGTTAAGAGTATGATGGAAATTTAGGGAAAGCTGACTCATGTTGTTGAGGTTATGTTGGTGCAAAATATATGAATAAAATGACTGGAAAGTGTTAATAATGTGCCAAGAACTTATATACTTAGAAGATCCATTTTATAATTCTTAATAAGTGATGTTAATTCCTTTGTTTACTTGCATAGGCAAGTGAACACTTTCAAGTATGCACGAGTTGGGAAACATCATTTCTTTGCAACTTGTCAGGCTCTTGCATGAGAAGCTGAAAAGCAAGAAGGGATTGGGAGATAAACAAATTGGATGATAGCACCTGTTGTTATTCTAGTATAGTTGAGTGGTTAGGGAAAGTTGATACTAGCTGCTATGAATTTATAATACCTCTACCAACAAGAAGGAATCATTGTACAGCTTTTACAAATGGAAAATCATGGGAATTGGGCACAAAAGAATTCAGCTCCATTGGTTGCCTTTGACAGAAATAATTGTAGTTGAAAAACAATAAATACCTAATTTCATTGAAAACCTATATAAAAAATTTAAAAACCATGTATAGAATGAAAACTATACTAACAAGCATATTGTCTAAGGTGGTCTCCATCACTTTGAACGCCATCGAAGTTACTGGCCTAGGCCTCCTGAGTTACATATAGGATATGCTTGAAGACCTCAACATGCAATTCATGTACCAAGAGCTGACAATTGCCTTTGTCAAAGCATTGTAATGAGACCACCAGGATAAGCTGGCAGCCAGGGGTATGGATGACTCCGTGTACGAGAGAAATAAAGGATGGTGGAACAAGCTGAGAGCTTGGACAACAATCTCAGATCCACTCAACAACTACTCCACCTGGATGAACATTGGCTAGAAGAGAGGACTGCCAGGGCCACCGAATATGACATTGGTTCATTTTCAATCCAGTAGGCCGCTTCGACTGCCTAGCATACCACCATGCAGCACCATGGGTTCACACTACAGTGGCTGCCTACCGCTGCAGTGCCCATTGACTAGAAGTGGAACACAGCTGACACAGTTGACCACGCATCTCACAGGAGCAACGGCTGCCTAAGACATGTAGAGGATGTTTTTCATGTCCTTTACCAATGTCCCCAATACTAGCACTTAAGAGATCAAATCACTCTTCACTGGCAAGAGCAGAATAAGACATCCTTACTTGGCAATCGCTGTCAATTGCAACAGGTGGTTTGGAATATGGAGCACAAGCGAAAAGAAGATGAAGGTTAGATGGACCACATAAACAAACTTATATATATATAATTGCTGTCAAATTAAATAATTAAGCAACTTGTCTTATTGCATGTCTAGAGACACGCGAACTTGAAAGACTTGATTGGGCTGGAGCTCACCACTGCACAAACTTCTTGGCTGGAATTCAAGCGTGTAGCTGAGCCCATGCAGTTGGGCTGGCTAAAGAGGATACCAAACTGTCCATCAAACGTGAATCTATAGCCAGCGGGAATGGCAGGAACGCACAAATTGGAGCATGTAGATCCTGGTGTTCCTGCCGTGAAGCTTACTCCAGGATCCTGGCAGCCCACTGTATAAACATCCAGGATACTGTTTCCTTCGATACATATGACCAGGGTGACGATCAGAGAAAGAAGCAGGGAGAACTTGCAGAGAGGACCTTCCTGTGCATAACAAAACGAAAAGATTAGCTTGAGTCAATGAAACACTTTTATGAACCATTGTTTCTCAGTAACACGCTTCTTGAAAGCTTTGAACAATAGGATGAGGAGTTGAGGGACTAGTGTCCGCTTTTTATAGGAGTTTGAAGTGCTCGTGGGTCGCGAGGATGATTATAATTTATGGGAATTTCCCAGCATGATCAATGATCTAGTAGCATAATCGTGCAGAGCAGCACACTCGTTCAGCTCAGCGTGGATATTTTTTAATGCACTTACACACTATACTAAGACTGTAGTCTAAACACATTTTGATTTTGCAAAGGATGTTTTCCAGAGCGTGTGTGTTGCGCTGCACGATCACCCAATCAGATCATGATCACACATCCAATTTCTAGAAGCTAATCCTCGCGACCCATGAGCACTTCAAACTCCTATAAAACAAGAACAAGGTTAGTTCTTCAACTACAATCCGTCCTTGGAGAAATGGTTTGGCTGCACACTTTGCATCGTATTACACCTATTAACAACTCCTGTGCTCTTGTTTGATCTCAGGCACTCAATCTCTTGAAGATCATGGCAGCAGTGCTGGCCGTGATCACAATCTTAATCACTCAAGTTGATGCAAACAGCAGGCTCGATGTTTACGACCTCCCGGGTTGCCAAGACCCTGGAACGAGCTACACGGCCAAGCTCAATCCTTGCTTCTCTACATGTGTGGCCACTCCACTCTACTATCGGTTCACATACTCGGGGCAAGCTGGAATTTTGTTTAGTCTGCCCGATTGTCTTGGCACTTCAACCATAGTTCGATCGAATGTGTCACTCTGTGATGCAACGGAAGTGAGACTAGCACAGAGTGTGAGACTCACATGCATTCCATAAGCTTTGCAGTGAAGCAAAATACCATGTACGAAGCACATATATGTTGCTGGCGGGATCAAGAGAGATTATTCCCGTCGAGGTGCTCTGTAATAATGCGATGCTCCCTTTGAATGTGTTGATTGGATGACGCACCGGTTTGCTGTCCGAAAAGGATACTAGCACAAATATGCTGCCGCCTTGATCTTATGCGGAATGTAGTCGTCCGCGAGCGCGGAAAATTTAGAAGCCGACAGTGCCTCCAGCTCGAGTTTGACACCTTTCTCCAGCATCAGCCGCAACTGCTGGCTGCAAAACTCCACAGAAATTTAGCACAGAGTCACAGGTTGAAATTACTTCCAAGAGAATGCCAAGTGCTTCAAGTAGTCTCTGTTGAGCATGGCTTCGGCTTTTCTTCTATCTGTCAATCACAAAGTTGGATCTTACCGTCGTTTGTCAGGGAAAGGAGGCACCTATCCGGGACATTATGCGTTTGGCAATCAGAAAGGAAAACTCCTAGCCATCGAATGCTTGGTGTAGCAAGAGCTTCAGCATCGTATGCCATGGTCTGAAGGGGAAGCCGGGATTTGCTTGAGAATTTGACAATTAAACAACGCTCACCGGCGAGCCGAAGCGGTATGTAGCAAGGATGTCCAGGCCATACGGATCGGCATCCACCAATCCATAAACGGGCAAATTTGTTTCAGCTGCCAGAAGCCTTAAGAAACTGAAAACAAAATCGAAGTTACGAACGCGGTGTCAAAAACAATCTTGTTACCTCCTTGTAGCCACGTCGGGGTACCCTCTCCCCTGTACATGTGCGTAAGAATCTATGATCAAGGTAGCAAAAGTGTGAAGAACTTACAGTTAGTACTATACAGTTGTTCTTCCTGCAAAATCCATCATTTGCCAGTCGCTGAAAGACTGAGAAGAAAGATGTTACGAAAGAGGCAGACAGAAGATTATTTACCGGTTTCCTTTTCAACGACGATAATGTATTCTGCACAACTGCTGATGTCTTTGTGGTGGTCAAGGAAAAGAATATTAAAAAAAGGACTCATCATCGCAAGACTAAGATACCCGTTACCATCTTCGCATCTGTGGGAATGGGATAGCCCTGAATGAACAAAGTCAAGTGTATCAACTGTGTCAATAAACAGACTAGCCTTACGCGAGACTTGCAAACCGAGCAGTCAATTGTCCTGTCAGCATCCTTGAATCGCAGCGATCCCATGATTAAACTGCAAGAGCATCAAC